AACTGCTCCCCAGGCGCCCCACAATGGCAGCCTGCTGCTCCCCAAAGGGGATGTGTCAAATGCAGAGAGAGAATTTTCCCATTGTGGAACAATAAAATGATTTACATAAAGTCAGACCTAAATATATTTGCTTCTGAATAACTGATTTTGTGTGTGATCAGTTCATTTAGATTGTAATTAAATACAATGCACCTGCTTAAATGTAATTAGAGAACCTGAAAATGTCCCTTATCTTTCTTTCACCATTCAGGCATGGTTTATGATTGTTAAATACTAGAAGTATATTCCTTAACTTTTAGAGTCATTTAAACTATTACTTGCAATAGCTATTACAGCTGTTTATAGGTTTGAAGTAAACATACAAAGTATAAGAAAACTTTCAATTACAAAACTTCATCTTGGCTCACAGCTTTCAGTATGATCCGCTCTTGCCACTGCACTTCCTAATATTTTTGTAAATGCTCATGAGCTAAACTTTTTCAAACATTTGGGGGTCCAGCATGGTTTTTCTCTACACTCCCTACTTCTTTGAATAGAGTTGTTGTTGGTGAATCCCTGCATAGTTCTCTGTTCATTCAAGCTACTGTAAATCCATCAGAGGACTTTTTGGGAGCTTTTTCAGAGTGGACTGAGGCTGTTTCAACAGCCACTATGCACAGAAAAATCTTTCAAATTTGATACAACCTCTGGGAAAAAAAGAAAAGGAAATGTGCCAATTCCAGAAGTCATTATGCAACATAAATGATCATGGATGATGCTAATCAAGTTTGGGACAACAGCCTTCTAAAAAAGGACAAAACAAGTTGCAAACATAGCGTGTGGCTAAAGTTCTTCATTAGACCAAAACAATTTTCTTGGTGCTTGTGAGGAACCTCACAACTTCTCCATGATAGAGGAACTGTCATTGGAACCACTCTGGGTTCAATTTCCTTCCCTACTTCCTTCACTGAACTTTATATAGTGAAAGCTGATGAACATCCGTTTTAGAAAAAGAGTCCTTACCATTTTGATAAATGTGGATATTTTTTCATGTTCCTGTACAGTTAAAACCTGATGTTAAAAACACTGTCCAAAAATACACATGACCTTATGTTCCTCTCTGCATGACATAAATTAGATTAAATTTTTTTTTAAATATTCCCAAAACTGACTGTATTCTGCACCAGTGTCCCTTCCTTCTCCTTCAATGGTGCCAACATCCTACTGAGAAAAGACATTCTTTGCTCAAAGCACACAGAAAAAAAAAAGGAAAAAACAGTTTGCAAATGTAATCGGAAGTAAAGACCTTTATCTTTGAGGCTAAAATTAGAGTGTCTGGGCATGATGGCCATCCTTAAATTTGGAGACAAAATGGGAACCACTTGACTGTGAAGTATGGGGGTGGCTGCACTATGATGAGGTGCTTAAGGGGAATATTGACTACACTAAACACATGGCTTAAATTGTCTAATGTTTGGGTGTACATGTGTAATTCAAATGGATAATAAAACATACTTACATGAAGTGGTTTACAACAACAGACAATATTTAACAGCAGCTGTCATAAAGGCCTGACCTTAGGCTGATAAAAAAATGTGTGGACAGATTTGAAAAAGGGAATGAGCAAGAAGTGGTGTGGCTCAGTTACACCACTTCTTTTCAGAGTAATTTAATAAATTCTTATGAAGGAAAACTCAAGACATTTGACCCAAGACCGTTAGTTGAAAAGCAATTGAACAAAACAACAGAGAAGAAAATGTAAAAATGTAAACCTTAAAAAAATGGAAGAAAACATCTATCTACCTAATTATACAGACATATAGAGGTATGCAGTTGTGCACAAATATCTACATGTGGCTCTGAAATAATGATGTACAGTTCTGAATTGGTCTTATACCATCAAGTTGTAAAACAACATTAGTGATTTACTTTAGTTTTGTATATCAGTGATATCAATCTTGTATATAAAAAGAGTTTTGCTCTGCGATTATACCTTCATTTGTGATAGTATTTTGCTCGAATTAGTCATGTGTATCTTTTATTTATTTATATTTTTTACAGCGTCCTGTCTGGCAATGTGGCAATAAGAATAATTGTCTTGAAGCCAAAAAGAGCCCAACAGATTTTACGTTCACAAGTGGAGCAGTACGGCTATCGCCTTAGTGTTCCGCTTGTTTTATGCATATAAATTGCTTTATTATAATTATGCAGGGAGTTTTACAGATTATATGGATGCTGCAATGTATGTAGAACAGGAAAGGAAAAACAGAGAAAAAAAAGGATAAAAGATGAAAGAAAAAGGAGATAAAAGGGAGATAACGATAAAACATTTCCAATCTGCTTCATCACCTGCAAAGAGATTCAAAAAGAACAGGACAACAAATGCATGTATTATAAGAGATACAATAAAGTAACACCTAGATACTATCGCTGAAATATAAGTAGTATTATTTAATCTGACATGTGTTCTGTGTTACCTGAAGATAAGATATGGGCTTTCTGTGTGGAAGTGAATCTCTAAGTACCTGGAACCAAGCATCTGTAATTGTTTGGGAAAGTGCCTATGTATTTTAAACTATAGGCCCATTACCTTTAGCGAAAGTTTAGACACAGTCTTGATTAAGTCTATATACCACTTCAATGCTCTTACTTATAAGCCATAATAGAGGAAGAACCACATCAAGCTGCTCTGCCTTTGCATTTTGTTGCTTACAAGGTTTCAAGTAGACTTATACTTCCAGATTTGTAGTTGTTTTTTAATATTTCAGACCAGAGAAACAGTATAAAGGACACTGTGAGGGTGCTATGTCATCATTCTTTGTGCTACTGGTTTATTCACCTAGCTATAGCTTTTATGTTGTCCTTTCATGCAATGGTGGAATTTTTTTTTTCTTCTATCACCACAAATAGGCATAAAAAATGCCAAGTATTAAAAATAAACAAACCCAAGGGAGTACTTTCTTTTGTGGCCTGGCCTTTAACAGCTCAAGATAAAAAAAAAATTTCTTTATTTGATCATTTACGTATTGCTGTGGCTGCATATAGAGGTAAAAGTTTACTCTATGACATACTCTGGGTTAGTTTGGAAAAAGTTGGACCAAGATTAGCTATGTTCCCTTTGGTGTACTTTTATTTGAACTAGTATTTCTTCCTTTAGGTCTGGTAGGCATATTTATAATTACAACTCAAATCTAAGTAAAAATGTCCCACTTCAAATAAAATATGAGATATTTAATTTGATCTAGAGGTTGCTCAAGAGATATAGTTTATTGGAAATCAAAATGGTGGAATTTGAACTTTTTTCTTCATGTAACCATCAAAATATTGGATTTAAACTAACTGTAAAAATTGAGTCCGAGAGAATACAATACAGTTTTGTTTAAATGATAAGAATATGAATCTAATTATTTCAATTGAAATCTAAACAATTAGTTATGGTACACATTTGATATACGGTGAGTCTTAGATCCAATTTACATACAGTCCAATCAGTCAACGTCAAAGTTCCATAATCTGTTGATCCCCAGACGGATCTGATAAACGGTTAATCTGCATGATTACTTAAACATCACTGACATGATCCCAAAACAAACTGATTAAAACAATAAATATGGAATACGGATATAGCTAAAATATCTAGGTAAAAATTAGAAATCAACACGAATTGTGTAGGTAAAATAAATTTGAGGTCAGAACAATAGTCTGTCATTGTGTGACAGGAAGTCTGTCTGCTACCATAGAAACAGAAATAAAAAACTTGTCTTTCCTGTAAGTTTGATCGCTCAAAGTCAGAAAATCGCCATAGCCTCAAAGATGAGTCATGGAGAACTGCTGCCCAAAGCTGTGACATCACTTCCCCCCCACATTTAAAAATCAGCCTTCAGCCTGCGTTTAGCCCTATCAGCATAGCCTTTTACAAGCTACACAAAAAGATATGTCTAAACAGGGTGTCAGACACAACTACATCTTTAGTACAAAATTGAAGCTTAAAAATAGGCTGTGTGTATAAGTATTTTTTTAGTAGCATCTCAAATGTTGGGGCATGTAAAATATTTAGCTGTATCACAGCTCTTTCACTTGTTATTTGTAACTTTTTACCATGCATGTTAAGCCCCATTTGGGTTGTGCATCGTATTGAATTTATCACATGCAATGTATGCATCCATACGCAGTTACAGTAGCAGTTTTTAAATCAACTTAAATTCCTACACATAAGCTGTGGAGTTTGTTAAAATAGTGGCAGATGGAGTCTAGGTTGCATTTACAATGCATCACAAAAAAAGCACTAGTGTAGGTCTAAACTGATTACGGACCTAAAAATAAGGTGGCTTTGCATCGTTTGATGTCATTCATCTTGATTTGGTCAGTTATTAAAAACGTGGCATAGAAATGTCCCTGACCCACACGAGCCCATTGGCACCATTAAAACTAAGTGAATGGCAGTACATTTTAGTCTTACTGAAGCAGGTAGTGTTTGGAAAAAAAAAAAAAAAAATTCTGGGGCCTATTCATGACGCAATCCCTCTCAATAACCCTGCAGTCTTCAAAAACCTGGATCGGATAAGTCAAAACATTGAGATTTGGTGAAGTCCTAGAATGTTTACCAGTTTTGGTCCAAGCTAGTGTTAAGTTCTGGGCAACTTGGAGAATTTTTTTAACCAGTGACCTTATGCACCATTTCCTATTAAGGCTTGTTAACATTTTCTTTAGACATTTTGTGGCTCATTTCCCACCCCAGCTTCAATTGCTTTTATTCTCCCTTTTCTGGGAAACTGGATCCACTGGCAGGACAGCTTGCAAACATTTGAAAGGTGTTAAATATTGTTGGCACCAGCCTGTTTACTTCAAAAGTAAATTTACATTAATCTTTTACATGCCTTTGGGGGAGAAACCCCCCCCCCCCCCACACCAGCTGCAGCATTAATTGCCCTTTCAAAAACCCAAGTTAGATGTAGCTCAAGATTCAGACAAAGTCCAAATAACGAGGTTTCCATTAAAACAAGACTATACACCATGTTTTTCTCAAGTTTGTTTTAATTTTCGACATTCTGAAAATTGTGCATTCCAGGTTTACAAGAAATATCTTGCTTAGTGAGCATTCAAAACTGGCCAGGAGGAGGCCACAAGCAAGTCCATCATTCCACAGCAGGGATTAAAGAAATCCCACGCCAAGGGAAGCCATATCCAGAAGAATTTGATGCCATTGCTGTGGGATGTGCAGTACATAGACCGGTCTTCATGATGACTCTGCCTTCTCCTGTTCAATTGCTGGAGCAAAAATGGAATCAGGAGTTAGCCACATAAAACAAATGCCTGCAATAAAGTTAATCAGAGTAGAACTTACTTTCTTTAGTTGGCAGGGGGTTCTTCTCTTGGGTTTCAGTCTTCTTCAGCTTGGTTTTGTCAAAGGTTGTGACCTCAGTAACATCAGGTTTGTCAGACATGATTGTAGGGGACCTAATCAGAAAACAAACTTGTAACTTTCTAGAGGCTTGCTAGAAATTAAGTCAAACCCAACATTTAAGGGAAACAGTCATCTTTAAACTTTGTTTAAAAATAAAGCAGGTGGTTAGCATTGATAAACATCAAAAGACCATTTATTTCAGCATATAATTTCTGAAACTAAACCGTAAATTTAAAAAGAAAATACTAAAAGCTAAATGTTAAGAATATTATCTGTTCATCTGGAAACTACAAACATAACCTGAAGGTTTATGCATTGCTCAATATGCAAAAGGAGAACTTACCAAGCTTGCAAGCACAGAGACCACACAGGAAGACTGTCTCAAAGAAGCAGGAGCAGAGTGATAATGCACGTCGCCATGAGCCTATAAATACTGCCCAGTATGTTAATAAGCGTCTGACGTCACGCTTCTTCTAAGTCTATCAACCAGCTATATTTCATTAAATCAATATATACTTTTTATTTTAGGTTCATTTAAAGTCAAATATCACCCATATCCATATTGATATATAAGTATGGACAAGTAAGGACAATCTTTTCTGACTACTTCTAAGCACTTTCAATTAAACCACACCAGCTGCATCTCATTAGCTTACATGATTAAAAGGGGTCCGGTAAATTACTCCGCTTGTCTCGTGAGGTTGTGCGCAACACAGCAGTGGTTCTAGACGTTTCTTCATGCACAAAAACGCACAAAGGTTTTTAATCCAGAGCGTTTCTGGGTGGAATGATGCGTTTTTAAATGTTTACTACTAGCGACCCCGTGTGGTCTAACACGGTATATCAGGCGAGGAACGACTATAGGCTGATTATGAAGTTATAAATATCTCTTTTTTTTCCAGTCCTGACAGTTAAAAAAAGACTTCAAACGGAAACTGATGATGAGTTTTAGTTATTCGTGATTTATTTAAAAAAAGGCATTTACAGATTGTAGAAAAAATCAATCATTTCAATGGACATGAATGTATACAATCTATTATTATTTCAACGTTTTGTTTAATTATGTGAATTGACAGAATTTGAATAAATATCAGTATAACATCATTACATACACATATATATTAAAACAATAAGCAACGGTCTTTTCAAATAATTATCCTTTTATCAAAAAAGATGCAGTTCCTACTTATGAAAGTACCCCATATTTTCTGAGTTATAGACCACCCTAAAATAATTTAGATAACAATGGAATAACTAGCATGATAGAAAAAGGAATTCAGCTCATTCTAACATACACTGAATTTAATACATTTTATTAATGATTAGTAATGTTTTCAATGTGTTTATTGTTTAGATTATGACAGTCGTTGTGCATGATAACCACCCTCTTTCACTTGCTGGTGTAAAAGATAAGTCATTTACAATGATTTTTTTTTTTCATATTTTTGAAATTTAAGATTCCTGGCCTGTTTTGATGCAAATAATTACAGATACTATGGTGTATTTCAAAATATAAATATCCTAAGAAATAAATAAAAAAAAATCCTATGTTTTATTCAACAACCATTAACCCCCTCTACCTGCTGTTGAAGAACTTTTTATAAGTCTTGCCATACATGATCTGATTATCCACCCTTACAACATTTCTCAAGTTCTGCCAGAACCAAGGTTCAGCAGCTGCTGTTCTGGGCCACTCCACAACACTTTTCTCACACAGCCTCCTCCTTAGGCGCAGGAAGTGAGAATGCTGCAGCACAGGTTCCAGCATCAGCAACACAATCACATCCATATTTTCATCAAGCAGTCTCTGGTGGGCCAGATACATTGCCAGTTTGAACACCCCAGTCTTNCTTAGGCGCAGGAAGTGAGAATGCTGCAGGACAGGTTCCAGCATCAGCAACACAATCACATCCATATTTTCATCAAGCAGTCTCTGGTGGGCCAGATACAATGCCAGTTTGAACACCCCAGTCTTAACATAGCCCTCTGTCAGGACAAACAGGGTTTTGCGACTATTTCTGATGCTCTGTGTTAGGTTATCCACTAGAGGCACTCCTGGGAGCCAGTCCCTCTCCTCCAAGCACAAAGGAAGAAGCTTCTCACCCTCCTCTTCTAATTTCACTCGTAGATTCATCATTACCCAATCAGATACACGTGGATCTTTGGTGTCATAGGTTACAAAGACATCATAAATATTTTCCTGTGAGTACAATGATCTGTATCCCTTCAGTTTAGCCTTGATATAGTGCATGACATAGGTAGCATCCCAGTAGAACATGTGAGCAACTGTTGCCACAAACATAAAGACAATAAGGAAGAAGGTTGTGAGAATGTACATTCTGAAGGCCTCATCGTCATTTACACATTGGTCAATATTAAAGTATATCAGTGGTTGGTTCCTGTCCTTTTCTGGTGTTTCACATCTTACATCAGTTGTCAGTCTTGGAATCTTTACCTCTCCTTTTCCAATCCATACGATGAAATCCAGAGAATCACATGTACATTGAAATGGGTTTCTCTGCAAAAACAAAGTCTTAAGATTCTCAGGTTTTGGTTGGAAAGTGGACTGATTGATGATATTCAGTTTGTTGGAGCTGAGGCTCAGAGTCTCAAGGGTTTTAATGCCACTGAAGAATGACTTTCCCAAGTGAAAAATGAGATTGTGAGTCAGATCAAGAAAAGTCAAAGAGAGGCTAGTTGCTTTTTTAACACCAGCTATATTGGACAAGGAATTGTGGCTCAGGTCTAAAATTCTAAGGTGAGGGAAGTAAGATAGACTGTCCCATAAAAAATCTGTCATTTTGTTGTGACTGATGCGTAGTTCTGTCAGGTTCCGAGGAAGCTTTTCATAAACATCGAGAGGAATATGTTTAATATTGTTCCAGGATATATCTAGAACTGTCAAATTCTTTAGGTTGGTAAAGAGAGTCTTATAGGAGTCCTCTCCTTCTTTCCAAAGAGTTCCAAGCTGGTTATATGTAAACTGCAGTTCTGCTAAAGAACTGCTGTGCATCTGTTTGGTTGTTAAAGTTGAAATTGAATTATGGCTCATATTAAGTACCCTCAGGACAGGTAGGTTTTTTATAAAGTTCAAATTATGCGTTATCCCATAAGATTTAAAGTAGTGAGAATTCCAACTGATGTCTAACACCTCAAGTTTTTTCAGTTCCTGAAAGGCATAATCATAAGCCAGATCGATCTTATTAAAAGACAAGTCCAAGTAGGTCAAATTAGGCAGTAATGAGAACTCTGTGCCATTAAGTGCAGAAGAGAATCCATTCCCTGATAGATTCAGACAGGCGATATCCCCATAACCTTCAAACTGCTTTTGAGAAATGAAGAACAAATTATTTGAACTAAGAATTAGAACTCGTCCAGAATTAAAACACTGTTGCTTTATAAGACCATGAGATAACTCAAATAAAAAGTCTTTAGGCGGAAGCTTTATAAATGAAGAAATCGAAAAATCGGCTTGTTGAGTGTATCCATTTTCTGAGCAAGAAGGATTTATATGTGGAGTAGGACAGAGCCTGTTTTCTGCCAAATAAATCACCTTCAAAAAAATAAACTTCCTAAAAACAGTGGAATCACACCAAATAATAAAGTTAGTCCCCAAATTCAGGGCTGATAGATTTTTAAGTCCATAAAGACTCTTGAGTGTGTCTGGTCCAATGTTCTGGAAGACCAACCCCTCCATATGCAAGGTTCTTAATGAATGAAGTTTTGAAAACTCATTTGAAAGATTAATGGTTTTAGGATAAAGTTTTAAAGCATAATTGAAAGAAAAATCCATAACTTCGAGCCTTGGGAGGTATCGCAGGAACTCAGCCTTTCCAGTAAATTCACTGAGTAAAAAGTTAAATGAAAGGAGCAGATGTTTCAGCTTCCTTAGGTTCTTAAACCACAATGGATTCAGATATTCCAGAGAGTTTCCTCCCATGTTGAGTTCCTCGAGTTGTGACAGATTTTCAAATGCATCAGGGTCAATTTGAAGTGAACGTTTAGGGCAGGGTATACATGGAAAAGGAGCGTTTTCACATCTGGGGCAGTTTCCTTGTATTTTAAGGAGTTTCAACTGGTTTAAACCAAAAAAGTCTTCCTTTGATATGTGCTGTATTCTGTTACAACTCACATTAAGCATTGTCAAAGACTCCGGTAGGCCTTTTGGAACATGGCTTAAGTTGTTATAAGACAGATCCAGATCTTGCAGTTTGGACATGTGGGTAAAACAGTTTTCTGAGATGTTAAAATATTTTCCACATGGATTCCAGTAGTAGCAGTTATTAGATAACCAGAGTTGTTTCAGGTTTGGTAAACCAGCAAAGCTCCTGTCTCTCAGAAATGTGATGTTGTTGTTTTTCAGCTCAAGGATTTCCACACTTTCAGGGAGGTTGTTTGGAATTTCATCAAAACCATTACCAGCCAACCTCAACTCATGCAGTTTTGTTAGGCTCTTGAGATTTGCCTTAAAGATCACATTCCTCTTCAGGTTTGCACAGTTGAGATTAAGCCAAGTCAGATTCAGCAGACCTGAAAACGCGTCAGCTTTAATTGTCTTCAAGGAATTTTCCGATAAATCAAGGGCAGTAACATTGTTAGTTATCCCTTCAGGTACCTTCTCTAGAGCTCGAGCACTACAGTCAAATCGGACTGAAGAAATATTAGGCTCCATCACATCACACAGGAACTGTGCACTCCAGCGAATTTTGCAGGCAGAAGGTTGGATCTCCAGCATGCAGTATAGACCAAGGAGAAGCAGATGAATCCAGCACTTTGCTGTCTGAAATTAATAGTAAAGGGAATGATATTGATGAGAAAAAGCTTATTAAAAAACCTGTATCTCAAATGAACAGATGGGCTCTTGTTGCAATTAACTGCTATTTTTTATTTTTATTTTTTTTTGCTTAATTGCATCTTTTTGGTACCATTAAAAAAAATTGTGTGCCACAGTAATAGTTATACATCAATAAATCTGAATGCATTCAATAACTTAAAGTATTTTTGAAAAAATATTATTTCTTCCTGTTGTTGTTTTAATGTATCATGTTGGGGTGTTTCAGTTATAACATAAATAGCAGATGATTGCCTACATTTACCAGGGTAGCTTTGTTCTATGTTATTTCAAGAAAGTATTCCAGTTGTGTCAGCACGTTCAGTGAATTCACACTGAATAAGGCATGGAGGGCTTCACAGCCCACTATGTGCTCGCCAGAGGTAGCATGACTGCCATTAGATACTGAGATGATATCCTCTGACCCCTTGTGAGACCATATTCTGGTGTGGTAGGCCCTTGGTTCCTCCTAATGCAGGGCAATGCTAGAACTCATGTCACTGGAGTGTGTCAGCAGTTCTTGCAAGATGAAGGCATTGAAGCTATTGACTGGCCCGCCCGTTCCTCAGACCTGAATCTGATTGAGCAAATCTGGGACATCATGTCTTGAACCATCCACCATTGTCCCGTTGCACTATGGACTGTTCAGGACTTGGTGTTTTAGCCCAGGTTTGGAAAGAGATCTCTCAGGAGACTACCTGCCACTTCATCAGGCGTATACTCAGACGTTATAGGGAGGCCATACAGGTATGTGGAGGCAACGCATGATACTGAGACTAATTTTGACCTGTTTTTGGGGACATTACATTATAGTTGAATCAGGCTGTAGTGCGTTTTTCCACTTTAATTTTGTGTGTGACTCCAAATCCAGGTCTCCAATGATTAATGAAATAAACTTTCACTGATGATTTATGTGTGATTTTGTTGTCAGTTCTTGCTACAGAACAAAGTATTCAATGAGTATATTTTATTCATTAGGATCTAGGATGTTTTATATGAGTGTTCCCTTTACTTTTTGAGCATTGTATATTGTCTATAGCTGGGTTGGATATACTTTTTTCATGGAGTGAATTATTTATGCTTCGGTGAACAGAAATTCTGGATTTTTTCTGTGCTTTAATCTTTTAAGAAGTACCAACAATGTTGTCAACTCTCTCCCTTACCCTACCCTATCTTCAAATAGCATCACAATTTTGTCAAAGCAAAAACATTCATCGGATTAATGAAGCAAATAGGGTTCACAAAAATGTTTTATGAGCTGATGGTTTATCTGGAAATGCCAATAGCTCTTTTAAAGAGTCAATAACCCATAAACTATTAAAAAATTTAGACTTTCATACCAGTTAAAACATATAACAAACCTTCCTACCTCCTATAATATTAACCTCTCTCCAATATTTCCTTCACAGATTGAAGACTTAATGTTCTTTACTGACATTGTACAAGTTGTAGACCAAAATAATGAACACAAACAAGATATTTATGAAATGAAAAAAGGTATTTGAAATTTTTGTACTATTTATATATTGGTTAAAAAAATAGGTCCTAACATGGCTTAATTGAGTACAGCTATTCCTCTGGCAGAAAAACATTTGTTCAGGTTTTCAGTGCCTTCTTTCATCTACCAGATGGCAGAAGTTCTAAAAGTAAGTGTCCTGGATGAGACAGGTCTCTGAATTTTTTTGTGTTCTTTTTTTAAGGCACCAGGTGTTGTCGAGTTCCTCTAGTAAAGAGAGAGGACATCTGATGATTTGTTGGACTGTGGTGACAGTTCTCTGGAGTGGTGCTAGAAGGACACCAGCAGCTTTTGCATAAGATGGTTGTGCCTCAGTATTCTCGAAAAAGTACAGTAGTTTATTCTGTACTTTCATGACAATGCTGGTGGTGTTGACAGTCCATGTCAGATTGTTCTCTGTCTTTAAACTCAGAAACTGGAAATTGGAGACCCTCTTCATGTAGTTCGAATTGATGGACAGAGCTAAAATGTTTCATCCTGAAGTCTGTGATCAGGTGCTTTGTATTTTGTAGTGTTTAGGATCAAGGTATTCTCTAAACACAACAGTTTTAGCTGTTTCACCTCATCTCCCTAGGCAGAGCCATCAGTCCTGTAGAGCAGGCATCCCCAACCTCAGTCCTCGAGGGCTGCTGTCCTGCATGTTTTAGAGGTTTCCTTGCTCCAGCACAGCTGATTTTAATTGAAAGCTGATTAACAGGCTTTTGGTATACTCCAATCATTATAATCAGCTGTGCTAACGCAGCGTAACCTCTAAAACCTGCAGGACAGCGGGCCTCGAGGACCGAGGTTGGGGATGCCTGCTGTAGAGGAGCCCCATCACATCACATTACATGTAGGGTGGGAAGGGGCACAGTCATAGGTGAACTGGCCTGTAGAGTTTGGCACTCAGCACACAGCCCTTGTGGAGATGTTTCTGAGACCAAATACTAAAGAGATACCCCCCTGCTGCAGAGCGAAGGGAGACTTAAAGTCCTTCGGAGACCTGTTAGCTCTGTGGTGGACTGATGGCGATCAAACATGGGCAGATTATTGGATTCATATGATCAGGATCTGGAAGGAGATACCCAAGTTCATTATCTGTGAACTCCCAAGGAACCTGCTCTGATACTGTCAGGGATGCATACAAGCACATGGAGGTCACACAAACTACTGAGTGCCATTTTAAGTTGCTGGAAAGACATTTCTGAAAATTTGAATAGCCCGTTACATAAGGTTTTAACTTTCAACTGGCAACTTTGGACTTAGCCCTCTGTGGGTTGATCATTTTTATTTCTATCAGCTAATGCAATTGTTCCTAACACATTACACATTTTATAATTGTATGGATATTCAACATGCGTTTTTTTTTTTCCAATTAAAAATCTGATGGCTCTTCTGTGTGTTCTTTAGTTTTTTCAGTACTATATAAAATCAATGTTGTCTAACCTACTGTGATGCTGGATCCAGTCGATAAAGTCGGTCATACAATTGGGATTTTGCTACATACTATCCTTAACGAAGAACAAAACTACCCTGGTATATAATATATGTAACCAGCTTCCCCATGTGGTATGTTTGAAATCCAAAACAAGACACTTGAGAAAGGAATCAGCCATTTCCTTTTATAAAACCATAATGTTATTGACGATTCATTCTGTTGTACCTGGAGATTCCACACATCCACATTTAAAAATTGTAGATGTTTTTTTCATGTATGAGTGTTTTAACACTCTCATATAAAAGTAAATGTGTTTTATAAGAAGCATCGATCTAACAGAAGTCCTGTTTTAGTCTGGCCCCCACCCCAAAAGGGAAAAAATCAGAAAAACCTGAAAGATGTAATTTTTTAATTGAGCATCATGATTTTCCACAGTGAGGTAATAAGAAAATCATTTTAAAATTATAGTGCAAAATTGTATTTGTTAAATCTAAACGTATATTAATTTGCTAGTCAGTTTGAAAAACAGTAAAAGGTAACTGTTCTTCATTAATTACTTTTTTAGGCAATGTATTTAGTCTAATTGTTCACATTACTAACGTTAATGTAGCTGTATCACTGTAAAAATCACATGTATACAGTAAAGGCATCCGTAGACACTAAAACAGCAGCACAGGTCAGCGCACTGACACATTTAATATAATTTAATTAAAATCTAAACACACATTTTACAAACAACAGAAGCTTTTGATATTAGGTGGTTATTTATTTTGAATCTGTGATTTCAAGCAATTAGGTCATACCAGTTTTTAAGTAAGCAAATATTTGTGTAGGTAAGTGCATTAATGCATACAATAACATTACTCAGAGCCTTACCAAAAAATTAAGAATTTAGCTGTAAAGCTGAAACAGTTTATGCATCTTTATCTCAATGTATGAATGTAAATCATTTGCTATAGAGCAAACATTTAAAAGGCAAAATGCCTTACAACAAAAGAAAGGAGTTTTTGGGGAAATAATGATATACAGATTCAAACCCAGTTAGTAAATTAGCATTTAGCACAAAAACAGTATAATTTAAGAAAGACAGATATTTTTCCAATCACACATATATACACTGAGAGACTTGTTAGTAAAACTCACCATTGCGCTTGGATAGTATTGATCTTTCAAAACTTCAAATCTAACTCTGTTAATTATAGTCTAGCTAAAGAAAATAAATTTCTTATGGAATTACAAAAATGAAACAAGACAGTTATATTAAACATTAGTATCTGATCAGAATGTACTGTAGTTTATGCTCTGGTTCCTTATATCTGCACGTTTTGAAAGAAAGAATTCCGCTTGCTGCAGTCAAAAACAAAAGGACTACACTTTCTCGCCAAACAGGACACGATGTGGGGGAAATCTAGCATGTAAATTGCAGAAGTAAATGTTAAACAGTTTCATTTCCTCACTGCAACAACTTTAAATTAGTTCCCGTACAGTGGAGACAAGTGGCAAAAACTTCTGCGTTTTTTTTTTTTTTTTTTTTACTGTGCTACATTAGAATACCATGGTAATGGAACCAGGGAAGTGTGTTCATAACAATAAACCATCTTGACAAGGGAAGTTTTATTTTTACAGCGCTCTTCATTCACCATGAAATGCTTAACAAAAACATAAAGAATATGTTTGAACCATAACCTTTATACCTATGGTAAAACAGCTATTGCAATGAAATTGCTTTAATAGCCCAAACACTTCCAATGTGCTTGTGTTGTCTTCCTTGTTATTTCATGCTGAAGACTTTTGTATAAGCCTTGTTGTATATTATACGATTGTCTACTCTTAAAACATTTCTTAGGTTTTGCCAGAACCAAGGTTCAGCAGCTGCTGTTCTGGGCCACTCCACAACACTTTTCTCACACAGCCTCCTTCTTAGGCGCAGGAAGTGAGAATGCTGCAGGACAGGTTCCAGCATCAGCAACACAATCACATCCATATTTTCATCAAGCAGTCTCTGGTGGGCCAGATACAATGCCAGTTTGAACACCCCAGTCTTAACATAGCCCTTTGTCAGGACAAACACTGTTTTGCGACTATTTCTGATGCTCTGTGTTAGGTTATCCACTAGAGGCACTCCTGGGAGCCAGTCCCTCTCCTCCAAGCACAACGGAAGAAGTTTCTCTCCCTCCTCTTCTAATTTCACTCGTAGATTCATCATTACCCAATCAGATACACATGGATCTTTGGTGTCATAGGTTACAAAGACATCATAAATATTTTCCTGTGAGTACAATGATCTGTATCCCTTCAGTTTAGCCTTGATATAGTGCATGACATAGGTAGCATCCCAGTAGAACATGTGAGCAACTGTTGCCACAAACATAAAGACAATAAGGAAGAAGGTTGTGAGAATGTACATTCTGAAGGCCTCATCGTCATTTACACATTGGTCAATATTAAAGTATATCAGTGGTTGGTTCCTGTCCTTTTCTGGTGTTTCACATCTTACATCAGTTGTCAGTCTTGGAATCTTTACCTCTCTTTTTCCAATCCATACGATGAAATCCAAAGAATCACATGTACATTGAAATGGGTTTCTCTGCAAAAACAAAGTCTTAAGATTCTCAGGTTTTGGTTGGAAGGTGGACTGATTGATGATATTTAGTTTGTTGGAGCTGAGGCTCAGAGTCTCAAGGGTTTTAATGCCACTGAAGAATGACTTTCCCAAGTGAAAAATGAGATTGTTAGTCAGATCAAGAACAGTCAAAGAGAGGCTAGTTGCTTTTTTAACACCGGCTATATTGGACAAGGAATTGTGGCTCAGGTCTAAAATTCTAAGGTGAGGGAAGTAAGATAGACTGTCCCATAAAAAATCTGTCATTTTGTTGTGACTGATGCGTAGTTCTGTCAGGTTCCGAGGAAGCTTTTCATAAACATCGAGAGGAATATGTTTAATATTGTTCCAGGATATATCTAGAACTGTCAAATTCTTTAGGTTGGTAAAAAGAGTCTTATAGGAGTCCTCTCCTTCTTTCCAAAGAGTTCCAAGCTTGTTGTGTGTAAACTGTAGTTCTGCTAAAGAACTGCTGTGCATCTGTTTGGTTGTTAATGTTGAAATTGAATTATGGCTCATATTAAGTACCCTCAGGACAGGTAGGTTTTTTAGGAAATGTAAATTTTTAGTTATTCCATATGCCATAAAATAGTGGGAATTCCAACTGAGGTCTAATACCTGTAATTTCTTCAGTTCCTGAAAAGCATAATCATAAGCTAGATTGATTTTATTGAAGGACAAGTCCAAGTAGGTCAAATTAGGCAGTAATGAGAACTCTGTGCCATTAAGTGCTGCAGAGAATCCATTCCCTGATAGATTCAGACAGGCGATATCCCCATAACCTTCAAACTGCTTTTGAGAAATGAAGAACAAATTATTTGAACTAAGAATTAGAACTCGTCCAGAATTAAAACACTGTTGCTTTATAAGACCATGAGATAACTCAAATACAGGGTCTTTAGGCGGAAGTTTTATAAATGAAGAAATCGAAAAATCGGCTTGTTGAGTGTATCCATTTTCTGAGCTGGAAGGATTTATATTTGGAGTAGGACTGAGCCTGTTTTCTGCCATGTAAATTACTTTCAAGAAATTAAACTTCCTGAATACAGTTGAATTACAGCAAATAATAAAGTTAGTCCCCAAATTCAGGGCTGATAGATTTTTAAGTCCATAGAGACTCTTGAGTGTGTCTGGTTCAATGTTCTGGAAGACCAACCCCTCCATATGCAAGGTTCTTAATGAATGAAGTTTTGAAAACTCATTTGAAAGATTAATGGTTTTAGGATAATGTTTTAAAGCATAATTGAAAGAAATATCGATAACTTTGAGCCTTGGGAGGTATTGCAGGAATTCAGCCTTTTCAGTAAATTCACTGAGTAAAAAGTTAAATGAAAGGAGCAGATGTTTCAGCTTCCTTAGGTTCTTAAACCACAATGGATTCAGATATTCCAGAGAGTTTCCTCCCATGTTGAGTTCCTCAAGTTGTGACAGATTTTCAAATGCATCAGGGTCAATTTGAAGTGAACGTTTAGGGCAGGGTATACATGGAAAAGGAGCATTTTCACATCTGGGGCAGTTTCCTTGTATTTTAAGGAGTTTCAACTGGTTTAAACCAAACAATTCTTCCTTTGATATGTGCTGTATTCTGTTACAACTCACATTAAGCATTGTCAAAGACTCCGGTAGGCCTTTTGGAACATGGCTTAAGTTGTTATAAGACAGATCCAGATCTTGCAGTTTGGACATGTGGGTAAAACAGTTTTCTGAGATGTTAAAATATTTTCCACATGGATTCCAGTAGTAGCAGTTATTAGATAACCAGAGTTGTTTCAGGTTTGGTAAACCAGCAAAGCTCCTGTCTCTCAGAAATGTGATGTTGTTGTTTTTCAGCTCAAGGATTTCCACACTTTCAGGGAGGTTGTTTGGAATTTCATCAAAACCATTACCAGCCAACCTCAACTCATGCAGTTTTGTTAGGCTCTTGAGATTTGCCTTAAAGATCACTTTCTTCTTCAGGTTTGCACAGTTGAGATTAAGCCAAGTCAGATTCAGCAGACCTGAAAATGCGTCAGCTTTAATTGTCTTCAAGGAATTTTCCGATAAATCAAGGGCAGTAACATTGTTAGTTATCCCTTTAGGTACCTTCTCTAGAGCTCGAGCACTACAGTCAAATCGGACTGAAGAAATATTAGGCTCCATCACATCACACAGGAACTTTGCTCTCCAGCGAGTTTTGCAGACAGAAGGTTGGATCTCCAGATTGCAGTATAGACCAATGAGAAAAAGATGAATCCAGCACTTTGCTGTCTGAAAGAAAAAAATAATAAAGTCACTACAATAAATTTCCCTGTTATACTTTTGAAACTGTTCAACAAAATACAAAAAGAACAACAAAAGTTATCACCTCATTGAGCTGTTTTACCTAGGGCCTCATTTATAGAATGTGCCTATGCACAAAAATCCTGTGGTGCAGTGTTTTTACACACAACTTGGGAAGTATAAAAAAGTATAACATGAAACTGTGATGCAATCCACACTTCCATAACATATTTTCATTGGAAAACAATATCAAACTATGGAGGACTAAAACTTATTTAAGTTGTCTCATATTTAACTGTATCAAGTCAAGGAGGATTGAGCTAGATGTTTTCTTATTTTTTTTTGTTTTATGATTTAAACCCAACAGGTGAGACTGAATCGCATTCATCTGCCCACATTAATGTACCACCACTCTTGGAAAATCTACAAAAACATATAATCAGATGTGAAGTGGAAATGTTCACTGTATTTGTTATCTCTAGACATACGTTCACATTGACCTACAGTACGTGCTTACAATGTATAGAATGTATGGTATCATCCATGTGACAGTTTCAGTCTTACTGAGAATAAATGGTTGATGGATCTTAGGATTAATTCCTAAAGCCTCTGTCACACCTTGACGAGTTAGCCAGCATATGCCTGACGTATGAAAAAACTGTTGAAAATGCTGGCATAAGTTGGATAAGTTATCGGTTAGTTTTGTTTAAGTTATGAGCACGCTGAAGCATGCAGAGACACGTCACATATGGTGAGTACGCAAGTACATCCCAACGTACGCCAGCGTATGCTCTTACCTGGGGCATAGGTTACAGGTAAGTTATTTGATAGTTGACATATGCTAAGTCTAAGTTACTCATAAGTCGTGGTGTCTAGCTTTTCCAAAAATGGAGTAACTGGTGCATAACTTATGCGTAACTTTTCAAGAACCCATCTCTAACACATATTAACATATTTGACATGTTCCAGATGACTGCTGGACGTGTTTCTACTGTATGATGATGTATTGGCAGCGTTTTGGCATATGTTGGGGTTCACAGGAGGACAGCGTTAGTACTCCTCTGGACATCATCCCCATCATAGGGTGAGTGAGAAGGTGAGTGTGTTGGATCCTACCTGCGTTCACGCCCACAGCCACGACCAACAAACTCCCTAGCAGACATGATGCTGAATCTGCTGCTACTGCATACCTTCTTTCTTTCTTTTTCTTTTTTCTGTTGTATTTATTTATTTATTCCCTTTTTTTTGGGAGGTGGTAAACAGAGGCTAGGTTAATACCGCAATAATATTAATCTTTTTATGCAGTCCGTGCGCCTCTGGGCACATTGCTGCCCCCCTCTGGACACTGGCTTGTGTCATTTCATGGGCATTACGCTACAGTGCATTATGCATAAGATGGGCTGTCGTTGGACATAAGTTCTGTCCCAAAATTGAAAAAATACATAGAACGTTCAGCATATGCCAGTGTTTTAGAACATTCTTGGACATCAGGCATGCACTGGCTAAATCGTCAAGGTGTTACAGGGGCTTTAAGTTATGTGTGATGATTCGCAAGGTGGACAAGGTGATCACGACTAACACATACTGTATGTCCCTAAATAGCTGATTATAGAAATGTGCATAACTCTGAAACAATCACATCTTTGTCACTGTTGGAAGGAAACGTTCAATGTAATGATTAGGAGGGAGCCTGTTTTTTCAGACATTCTATTCACTTGCTTGAATGTGACGATAAGTGGTGAATTAACCAGATTAAAAAATAAGAAGAAATGCCTTAAAAAAGGTGTATTTGCTCTTAATATAATCAGGTAAAATAGATGATCTGCGAGTGGAATGACTGTTTCTGCCCTTAAGGCAGATAATTAGATTTTATGCCCCTGAAATAAGATAATGGACTTTTTATCCTAATTTAAACAGAAATGATCTTATTCCATTTGTGAATGGAATAGAAGTGAACATACTTTTATTTCAATACATTTTTTAAAAATATTTTATTTTGCAGTGTTTGCAAACATCCTGGAGCTGTGGAATGAACGTGTATGGTGACGAAGAAGAAGCTTCACTAGGACAGGCTGCATTTCTGACTACCCTGTTCTTTGCAACCAGAGCCTTTTAAAGGGAACTTAATGGCAGTTTGGTTATTTTCCTATCATGCCTGAGCCATCCATTGGCAATTCGTTGATTTGTCAAGCTAAAGCTGCTAACCACTGGAGAGTTCCAACACCCGCAAACGGAAGGCAGGAAAGTTTAGCTCTCCACCGAAGACCTGACTATGAGGGTGGATAGTAGGAAGTTGGTACGTCATGTTATTGGGACATTTCTCATCACTAAAGTGATGAACCCGGTGGCCATCCACCTCCAGCTCCCTCCTTCTATGAGGATACATCCTACTTCTCATTGTCCCAGGATAAACCTGTTGTAACTGCTAGGTTCTGATCTTTTGCCTGAACCTTTCTTTGGACTCCTGCTGGATACTACCGGTAAACTCAACCTGGATCTGATTTCTGAGTTTGACCTGGATTTCCCTTTGGTACTTCTTCAGATCCCTGATCTTCTGGCCTGGACTCCTGTGAACCTCTTCGACACCGGTTTTGTCTTTGTCTTCAAGAAAGTCCTGCCTTCCTTTGTCTGCTTGGATCTGCTTGTCATCCAGTTCAGCATTCTTAAAGGCCTTAGCTCCTGGAACCATTCGGCTGGATTCCACTCCTTCCTTTGTGCACAAACTGAACTCTTGTTTGTAATTGTCCCCGGTCAGATTTACGTGGTCACTAACCTGAGTTTTCCCTCTGCAGAAATTCCGGCCTTAGCTGATAAATTGCAGATCCAGTGTTTCTCAATAAATGCTTTTAAGTATGACTGTCTGTTTGCTTTGAATTCTTGGTCCTCTGTTCCGATCCCTGACACTGAAACCAAGCAGAGTTTAAGGATAACAGCAGCATTCTATACAACCCTTCACTACAAAAGGAAAAAGAGGTTGGGCTCAGTAAGCCAGCCTTAATGCACATAATCAGGAATCTATTGCTGCAAAAACACCTATGCTATATTCTGAGATAAAAAGTACGATCAGGGTGTGGTCCTAGCCATTTTAAGGTCTATGAGAACATATTCTGTGTGATACCCCCCAACTTGAAACAAAAAATGTTTCTTTCACTTCTTTAGTTCTAAAATAATGCTTTGAAAACATGTGGAAAAGACAATCTTGAGAAATTAAAATCTTCCAAAAAAAGAAAAAGAAAAAAAGAAAGCACCAGTAATGATGCATATACTTTCATAATTGTGTTGTGTTGGGAAAAAAAAAAGTACAATTAAAACAAGGCTACATTTTGGAGTGCTGATGATCAAATGTCAAATGAAGTAAGCGAGAGCGACTCCCCCCCAATGTCATCGTTTTTCTGTTTCTGGTCTGTTAGGAGACACACACCGGTCGTCGTTGGAGAAGTCTAATTTTTGCGGGTAAAAACAGGCTGATATCTGCCTACATTTCACAGGGAACCTAATGTAGCAACAATATGTATGATTTTTCACAAAAAATGATGCATCCCCCCTAGGTGAAATAATATGTATATGTATATAATATAGTTTTATTAAAAGTATTGTCCATTATTTTATCTGGTAAAAAAAAAGTTAAAAAAAAAAAGTCCATTTACTTTTTGAGCAACTGAGCATGCACAAAACCATCCTACCTGTTTTGCTTTCAAAACAGTTTACCAAATACACCCTGGTTATCCTCTTCTTTGCATTAAATCATTAGACGGTTTGCCTCTTGTGACTCTCAGACATATTCAAAGAATATGGTGAGAGCAGTTGAGATATTAAAAAAGCTAACTGGATATTTAATACTTAAACTTGAGATGTGCATGCGCAGCAAGTATATGTTTATTAGCTTTTTGCCTTTTAGTACCCCCCTAGAACTAAAAGGCAAAAGAAAATTGTCCATTATATCTTTAAATAAGACAGCATAGGTATAAGTACAGCCTAGTCTATCTCCGGTGATTTATTTCGAAATTATAGATGTAATTGTTATTTTAACTGTTAGTGAAGTTGGATTATTGCGCCTAAACTTTTTTGGTCACCCCTCAGTCGCTGCCTGGTCACCTCTATGACGATTGTTGGCTATGCTGCTGGGCATTTCAATATTGTTCTTTAAACTTACATTCCTTGTTTTTTCCATTTAAGTCTGAGCTGTTTTTATAGTTGTCAAATCAAGGTCATAAAAACATTTCCTCAAGTATAAAGTTTATTAAATTTATTCAGGTAATCTTCTAAAACCTGACTTCAACGCTTCTAAAAAGACATATAAGACTACTATAATAATAATTGTAATAATTATTAATATTTGTGAATGTATACATAATCATTGTTTCTTAGTACTCAAATATTTCTCTGGGTCTCAATGGGAAATAAACACTGGATTTAGAATGTTAAAGCACACTTGAAAACCACAAATTACTTTATTCTTTAAATGGTGGATGCTGCGATTCAAATTGAAAATGATTAATATACGGTAAACCAAATATCCATAACACAGAATCAAATAAAGTCTAATTATTCAATTAGATAATGAAAACAATGCTGAAATCACAAAAGTTAAGCATTGCAAAAAACATTATTTCTCTTATAATGGGTACAAAGAAAATTATAAAGGAAAACTCACCATTGTACATGCTAGATTAAACCCACAACGCACACAAAATCCTTGAGCATCTAAATCTAGCACATTAAAATCTTTCAGATCTAAAAGGTATCTGTCAATGATACCTACAAGAATAATTTACTACTTTTTCTTCTACTTTTCAGTCACATTCTATGAAAAAATATTAAAGAAGTACACTGAAATGTGCTCAGCAAGACTGAACATGACAGAAAAAGCACATGAATTGCAGAACTGTAACTGTACACGTTGGTCATTTCCTTGCTCACAACCTTATCAAGTAAAACCATTTTTAGAATCATGTGTTATAATACAAAAAAAGGCTGCAGTTCATGTTTCCAGTAATGCAAAACGTAGATAGCATAAATGTCTTTTTGTAAGCAGTATAACTTTAAAACATTAAAAATAGTTTATTGAGATTGATTGCAATTTTAATTGATGTCAGTTGTAAAAAAAAAAAAAAAAAAAAAAAAAAAAAGAAACAACTTCCTGTTTATTTACAAACATATTGCAAAATGCATGTAAAAAAAATTTCTGGCTTATTTTTTTTGTAACAATACGTCTATGTAACCTACAATACATGTATATTATGAAGTCTTCAGAGAATTTCTTTGAAGAGATTACTATAATGTTTGTGGCTCTCAGTAGCTAATACACTCCTGAGTCTGAACCAGAAGTATGGTTGTGCCTGAGGGTTTGTTGGCCACTCGAGCACAGACCGCTTGTACAGTCTTTTTCGTAAGCGGAGATACCTTGAATTGCAAGACACCTTTTGTAAAAAAATCAAAATGATGACATCATTTTTTTCATCCATTAGTCTTTGATGGGCCATGTAGAATGCTGTCCTAAAATGACCCTCTTTGATATATTGTTTTGTCAGAATGAATACAGTTCTTTTGCTCTTGTGGATGCTCTGCGAGAGGTTGTCAATCAGTGGACAACCAGGGACCCAGTCTCGCTCCTCCAAACACAGGGTCAATCGGTGGTCTCCGTGTTCCTCTAAATGAGGGCACATCTCCTTCATCACCCACTCTGATACTGCAGGATCATTTTTGTCATACATCACAAAGGCATCGTAGACTTCACTTTGAGAATGCAGGCGTAAATAACCCTTGAGCTTGGCCCTGCAGAAGTGATAAATGTACCAGACATCCCATAGGAAGAGATGACTAGAGATGGACAGAGTAAGAAAGCCAAGCAGTAGGGAGGTCATGAGAGTGTAAAGGATGATTGACATGAGGGAGTGCTGGCAGGCCTGTAGGTCCACTGAGACCACAAGATGACCTTTCTGTACTCCAGGAGAAGCACAGCTAACATCTATTCCCAGGCGGGGGATGGTTACGTTAGTCTTGTTTAGCCAAGTGATGAACCACGAGGCATTACATGTGCACATATAATTGTTTTTGTGCAGAAGCAACATGTCCATTTGCTTAATGACTTCATCATGGAAGCTGGATTGCTCAATGTACCTTATAAGATTATAGCTAAGATCCAGATATTTTAAATTAAAAGCATCTTGGAGGAAATTGGGTGTAAGTTTTTTGATTTTGTTGTCATGTAAAATAAGTTTCTCAAGTGATGAGGTACAGTTTGACAGCATTCTTGGCACAGAGGTAAGGTAATTTCCACTGAGGTCTAATACTTTTAGATCGTGCAAAAGTTGGAGTTCCCCCCATGCAAAAAAGGACAATTTGTTCTTTTTAATGTAGAGATCAGAAAGCTTGTCTGGCAATCCTCTGAAGACTTCTCGTTGAACTGATCGAAGGTTGTTTGAAGAGATGTCAAGCACTCTCAGATTAACCAACTTTTTGAAGTAGTTGATGTACCTTGTGTCTCCATCTCTCCATAGCATATCCAGCCTATTTCCTCTGAACTCTAACCTCTCTAAAGATTCACTTTCCATTTCTGTGTTGGTGGAAGTAGAAATCTTATTGTGATTCATCAAGAGTATTTTGAGTTTTGGTAAATTCTTAGTAAAATTGAGCATATGAGTCAACCCCTCTGACTCAAAGTAATGATTATTTTTACTTATATCCAATATGACTAGATTTTTTAGCTCTTTGAATGCAGTGAAGTAAAGTAGGTCCAGCCGATTTGATGAGAAGTCCAGGTACTGCAAATTTGTCAGATTGCTAAACTCAGTTCCATTCAGGCTTTGGCTCATTGCATTTCCAGATAGATTGAGGCACCTTAACTCCTTAAGATTTAAAAACCTTGAATGCAAAAAAAATATGTTGTTTCTGCTCACATCTAATGTTTTGCCGAACTTGCTGCATTCCTTCTTGACAAATAAAGTAACGATTCCAAGTTCCTTATCTTTATATTTACAGCTGCGAGCATATTCATCATATCTGAAGTAATGAATCTCTCTCACTTCCTTGTTTTTGAACTGATCAGCAGCTGACATGGGGGACCATTGCATGGGCTCACCACCATTAAAACTAAACACATTTTGAGAATCAGAAGGGGAAGATATTTTGTTATCAGATAAGCTGATTATTTGAAAGCTTTTTAACTCCATCAGAATGCTGAGGTTAGCCATTTTGATAAAGTTCGTGCCAAGATCTACAACCTCTAGATTTAGTAGAGGTTTTAAAGGAGCGATGCTCTCTGGCTTTAGTTGCTGAAACACATAGCCTTTTATCCTGAGAATTTTGAGAGACTTGAGGGAGGCAAAACTGTCGCTCAGTCTCAGAGTTTCAGGATACCTCTGGAGCTCGTAGTTAAAAGACAGGTCCAATTCTTCTAGCTTGCCCAAGGACAGAGGAAAGGTGGTGGATCCAATATCTCTGGCTAAAAAGTTTGATGAGAGGTCAAGCACTCTCAAATCCTTTGTACTAGTAAACCATTCAGGCAGCACGGATGTCAGGGAGTTACTGTGCAAACGTAATGTTTTCAGTTTTGTCAACAATTTAAAAGCTCCCTTACTGATTTGTAGTGGACTGTTGTTTGGGCACGGGGTGCATGGAAAAGGGGCGTTGTAACACCGTGGACAATTTCCACTAATATCTAAAATCTCAAGGTTTGTCAAGTTTTCAAAATCCTGATCAGAGATCTTTTGAATGTTGTTATTGTATAGATATAACTCTTTTAGACTTGCAGGCAATCTATGTGGAATAAAGGATAAGTTGTTTGACTTAAGAGACAATATTGATAAGTTTTCCATTTTTGAGAATGAACCGTCTTCTATATAGTAAGAAACATTACAGGGGTTGCGATAATAGCAGTTTTGTCCCAAGTAAAGTACCTGAACATGTTGGATCTCAGAAAGATTTTCCTTAGAAATGTGGAAAATATGATTTACTTCCAAACTCAATAGGACAAGATTTGATGGCAAGCCTCTAGGAATGTTGTCAAGTTGATTCCCATCTAGATAGAGTGCTCGCAAATTCCTTAGTGCAGTAAAGGTATCCTCCTTAATTGTCAAACTCTTTGTGCACATGTTGTCCTTTGGGCCGATTTTGATGGGTACACAGTTGCACCTCATGTCAATTTCTGTTAGGTTGTCAAGACCCTGAAAGGAGGTCGAGTTCAAGTTTGGAATATGGTTGATGGTGAGAGTCAGATTGGTAGTCTCTCCTGGGATGGCGATGGGAACTTCCTTGAGATACCTTTCAGTGCAATCCACTTTCACCGCAGTCCCATTGTCGACCTCGCTAACATCGCACGGTAGAGTTTTTGGGTAAGAGATGTTCCCTGTTGTTTCCACGTAATATGAGCCTAAGCCCAGCAGGGCTGCACAAATCTGTACAAAAACAGGGGATTTCATGAGACACATACAAAGTGCTAATTATGCATGGATATTTAAAACATTTTAAAACACATTAAAAAGCATAAAACACATTTTCAACATTCTATGTGTTTCATTTCAGTAAATATATTCCTATAAAGTATATTACATAGGTCTTTATACACAAAAGTATATTTCAACCATTAGTTTGTGTTCATTTTCCAAAAATGCTGCATGAGATGGTGGCATTCAGCTTGTTTATTTACTGAGAGGTTCATTAAGCTAAGGTTGAGTTAAAATTAATCTTAAATGAATATTTCACTCTTTTGTCCTCCTCATAGAAAAACTAGATCTAGCTGCAGTCTATACTGTAATTGTCAATAAACTTTGGGCTTATATTGACAATCTTTCTAAAGGTTGTTTTTATCGTTTTTTATTAAGACATTTTTTTTCCCTTTCACTCACCACTCTGTCAATATGTTTGTATCCAGAGTCTTTTGAAAAGACTGCTTTAAAAAAAAAAAAAAATTAATACAAAATTTTCCAGCAGTCATCTGCCAGATAAAAGTTTGGCCAGATGTCTCCACTATAATTGCAAAATATAACAATTTATCAGCTGTCAGCCAACATGATAAGTGTTAACAGAAATAAATGCTTGAAATATACTCTGTCTAATGTCTCCATGTTACAAAATGTGTTGCACTCCAGAATCATATGATTGAAACATTTATTTTTAATTCATACTTTATTAATGTATTGAGTCATATCTTTGCAAAACTACATTCCTAATCTAATCAAAAAGAGTTCAGCTCTATATAGAATATATCTGATTATTCAAGAATTGTTGTTTACTCACCAGGTGGAGGGACATTATTTTTGTCAGAATATGTGACAAAGTCCTTCTGCTTTGGTTAATGCAAGAATAATACTGAAAGAGCTGCTCTGCTGTCAGCTCAAGAAAACACATGAAACTAGCAGGTGGCTGTGTAAACCAATTATGTGTATAATTGACCAGCATCACTTCCCTATTGTTCTAGTGGTGGGTAGAGAACCCAAAAATCATACACAAGTAAAAGCAACACTATTTCATTTTTTTTTTACTTAAATAAGAGTAAAAAGTAGCCATCCAATAATTATTGATGTAGTAAAAAATTATTTTATAAAGAGTCTACTCGGGTACTGAATAACTCATCATTAGATCTTATATTTAAAACTACATAATAAAGACGTGCCAATATGTAAAATGAAGTACAAATTTTGGTGTTTAAAGTAGTTTTATAAAATAAATAAAAGAAAACAAATTATGCAATTGGAAACTAACAATTTCAGGCAAAAATACATTTTTCCCAACCCATAAACATTTCAGTATAAAACCTATGAAACCAGAACCTTAAGTAACAATATTTACTTCTTTCTGTATATTAGCTTGAGCTTTAAATCTCTTGCTAGGTTCAACCAAGCATTTGTTTCAAAAACACACTCTGAAGAACCTTTTTTAAATTAAATTAATGTTATTTAGTGAAGTTACTTTGGATTTGTGGAGTAGTCAAACAATTTACTTAAGTAAGAGTTGCAATATTTTATTCAGATCTTAGTCAAGATAAGGTATAAAGTAGAGGGCAATAAGAATACATCTAATAGTATATTTTGTTCAAAAGTTACTAAAGTACAGTAAATGTAAGTAGGTACTACCCACCTGCACCTCACACATCAAAATTATTCATCTTCTACCATAGTGGATTTGTTTCTCTTTTTTTTTGTAAAGATCTATGGAGACCATAAAGCATATATTCTAATTATAATATGGGGTTAAAGAATTTGAGAATCTTTCTCAAGCTATACAATATAATGGCACAGTCGAATGCCTCCAAAAGATTGGTTTCATTTCTCTGAAAGTTACAAGGGAAAGTGAAATCTAGGGTTAAGCTTTGGGTATAAAATTTACATTTCAAAGCTGCAACATCTTTTTTTTGTCATCTGTGGCTCCTTTGTGGCTTCAAGGCTGAGCGACCTACATGCTCACCTGTTCACATAGTGTGCATGACAGATCCTCAGCCAAATGCAGAAAGCCACAGAAAACTGTTTCTTATTAGACTCTTTGCTCAATATTAGACAGAACAAATATATTAAAGAGAGAAAGTCAATTCAAGTTCTTTTACTATAGAAGACATAGTGAGCCAAATCTAAGCTGGACTTTTTTGTGCACCTAACTGTCTTTTCTGCATATAATAACTTGGTAAACCCATTGCTAGATACTTAGAGAGTTGTTTAATTATTTTGGTTAAAAAAAAACAAAAAAGCAACAAAAAGAGAACAAAACAAATATTAAAAAAATAAAAACAATTGAATACTTGTGTTTCTTGGTATTTAGTTTTATCTTTTAATTTGAGTACTACAAAATGCCCTACATAAGTCACATAGATAAAAATAACATTGTTCTGATTTTTATGCAATTATAAACTTTAATAACTTTGTAACAAACTCATAAAAGTACTAAATGAAACGAATCTATGTTAAACTTTCCACTTTGAGCCAAAAACCTTTTAACGTTTTAGAGAATAATGTTGTATACATTGTTCTCTGCATAACTGCTCTATATATCTCTTGGCTTATATAAATCTATAGTGGCTGGAGCCAGTCTTAACCTAATGGGATCAATATGTTGTTTTTGTTGTTGCTGTTTTTTGTTTTCTCCATTCATATGAAATAATTTCTTTGGAATTTTTTATGTCATTCGTTGTATTAGACACATGCACATACAGATATATATTAAGTTTATAACATTTAACATTATGAGGGGAATATCTCTATCAGCACACTTGAATCACCAGAATAGGTCGACAGCAGAACTCTGGAACTTAAAATCATGAGATGTCTTGGACTTGAAACCATCAGCGTCGGCAGACCCTTTTCACAGGGGCAAGTGCCCTATTGTGGATCTGCGATGCCTGGATATGCCTGGGGCACTGATTTTTTAATTAATTAATTTTCCGCTTTCACAGCTCCACTCACACAGCGGAGTTGAGAGAGGCGAACTCTCCAAAATAAGCCAGTCACAATTGAAGGACAGCTTTGCAAAAATGAAGCCAGCCCTGGATGCTACCATTTACTGTTAAAAAAATGAACATCAAGCTGTCCCATATTTCTGGCCCTGATATACACACCTCATAGGATCATCCCCATCACGCCATAATAGGATGGGCCCAAATAGAAATGATAAATGCAGACATGTATGTATGTAGAGGTGTTTTTTGTTTTTCCTTTTACAGTTGCACATTTTAAGTTTTCAGTTTTCAAGTTCATGTTTGCTGACAGTTATTTAATGATGATAAATTGTGCCTTCATCAGTAGTAGATTAGAGATATACAATTAAGTTCGCAAGTGGGCAATTTCAATTGATTTTGGCTCAGGTAGATATTTAATGATGCAGAAAATAACAGTCTGATTGTACAATTTATTTATGACGCTTTATAATAATAAATAAGTGCTATAAAATATTTGCTTGTGTGCTTGCATTAATTTTCTGTGCCCCCAAAAAATTTTTTGCTCGCAGGCCTTGCTCACACTCATTTTTTTTGGTGCCCTATTGTGCCCCTGTATAGTATTGAGTCAGCTCACCCCCCTGCTTGAAACACATGAAAAAAGTTGTAGGACATGGGCCATGGTAGGATGGAGTTTTAAACCCCTGAAAATTTTGAGTAATTTCCTGAAAAACAAGGACAGCAATGCAAAAAAGTGCTATAGGTGAAAAAAAAAGCTGCATTATCTTAAATTGTTACATTTTAGTTTTAATTTTAAATCTGACCTCTGCACAGATCAAAGCTGCTTTACTTGTTCCTTTCTCATTGTGCTTTTCATGTTAACCCCTATTTACCTTGTAAATAATAAATTGTGTGTCTGTAACCACCCAATGCAAACCTGACAAATGTTTCTATTGACTGCTAATGACTTACCATTTAACCACTGATGATGGTTGACATGGCTGCGGTATTAGTCTTTTTCAGACTAGCCATTCATTTAAAACTTCAACAACAATAATATGGTTTAATGTTACATGAAGATAAAAAAAAAAAATATTTACTACAGGTTTTCCATGTACCCTCATTTGATACCCTGAGCCACTGCTCATGGGTCATGATTGGCATATTATTATATTAGTTAGTTTGTGACTTACAGCTATATTTCTGCAGCCTGACACACTCTGACTGGGTGTTGCCTTATTTATCTCTTGATTTTGCTTTCTCAAATGTTTCTCTTTGCAACAGACTCATGCAAATTGAAACAGACCATCATCATTATTAATGCAAATGCATTACCACCACTCAGACTTGAGCGATTTCTAAAATCTTGAATTATTAAACCTAGTTGCTAAACTTGGGTGTTTAAAAAAAAAGGAAAACTCACTCACAGAGAATGCAGTTTTTCAAACAGCCTATATAACAACAAAACTTCAAAAATGTGTAATTTGTGTGCATCAGTTTAAAACTGCAACAAGAAAATATGAAACCAGACAAAAAAAAAAGTAAAACACAAATTGACAACAATAAATGAGAGAATACTTTTAAAAGTTTTAACTTCTTTAATGATGTTGACAAAAATACAGGAACATATTCATGTGTAAAATATTAATTAAATCAAGTGACTCAACAAATAAATATGTATGCAGGTCTGTAATTTTATAACATCTTGTCCTGTGCAATGAATTGTCTAAAACTTGATATACAGTAGTTTATTTCTCCAACACAATTTACTGTATATTTTTTTACAGTTTATAAAGAAGGTGCTTTTCAGGTTGAAATAATTTACATCTTGATCTTCTAAAGAAATAAATATATCAATAAAATAATCCTTGCTATGTATTATCTGAGAATATATTTTAGGGGAAAGTCATATTATACTCCTTAGTAGAGGGCTAGATATAATCTCTTTAAAACTTATGTTGCTATAATTAATTTTCCTCTGTAGATAACAAAACATTGTATACACAAGGCAAGATTTCATTCACAGCAGTTCACATTGGTTGGTAAACCCATGTCTCTTATGTATGG